TGAACTGCGGTCAACTACGTGGGAGTCCAGCAACATAGCCATTATGCTAACTGCTGGTTCCCAATAATTCTTTTTTTTAATAAAAGGGTTTTTTATTAACATACAGAATCAGGTAGCCTATGATATACTACATGAAAAACAGGATACAAAAGCATAAACATAGAATGATCCCAACCGGTTCCAATAATGATTATACTACAAAAGATATTAATTTAATTTATATATTTAAAGTTTTATATACTTTGTTTATATGTTTATAAAAATCAGGACCAGCAGTTGGTGTAATAGCTGTGTTGCTGGACTCCCATGTAGTCGACTGTGGTTCAAGTCCCAGACCTGGTAGCTTAAACTGACACCGGGCACGTGCGTGCGTGTGTGTGTGTGTGTGTGTGTGTGCCCAAGATCCCGAGAGGAGAATGGAGAAGGGATTGCGGTGTGGCCATCCCCCCCAGGGGGTGATTTCTCACTTTCTGTCTGTCTCTCTGGTGAGCGCACGCACCCTACAGCAAAAACTTCTCCAAAAAACAAAAAGAAATATATGCATTTCTTTTGGGGCTGATCCCATTGGCTAGTGGTTAAGGGAGCTAGGTCCCACATGGCTGACCATGGTTCAAATCCTGACCCTACAGCTTGAAAAACACACCAACGACATGTGCGTGCATGCCCCCCAATTCCAACAGGACGGAGTAATGGAGAAGAGATTGCAGTGTGACCACACCCCATCGGGGGATGTTTCTTCTTTCCCTCTCTCTTTCGCTCTTTCTCGAGAGTACATATGCCCTCTGACAGTTGAATAAATGAAGAAATATCTATTATTTTACAAACAAAAGATAATGAAAGTTTTTTTTTTCCCCAGAAGAATTAAAAGAGCCCATATTCGGGTCTTACTTGTCTGCAGGAGTGTCCCCGTGTGCGCTGTGCTGGACACCTTTTACTTGCTGGATGTCACTGTCATGATGGTCCCAGGCGATCGGCATGGCTGCCTGCATTGTCTAGGTGTCGTGGGGAGGCTGGGCCTCTTCTTTCCCGTGTCTTGCAAGGGCTGCCGTCTCGGTTTTCAGCCCAGTGGCCACGGTGTCATCTTCTGCCTAGACTGTGCTGAGTCTGCAAGGAGAGGTGACCCCATTTACTCTGCACGGTTGGAGCGGGAGGATGGGAATTGCAAGTGGTGAGGGCTTTGACTCCAGATTCCCTTTTGCTGCACCGCTGATGGCTGCAGCGACATTTTCTGCTTCGTTACTTAAAGGCAGGTGGAACTTGCAAGGCAAGCAGGGTCTTCCCAAAGGCCATACCGGGTATGGTAAATGAGGAATAAATCAATAAATGGCTCATTTAGGAACCTGACCTCGGCCCTTGTGGTGGGGGTCATCAGTGCCCCGCCCATCTGTCCTTCTATTATCTGGAGGATTTCTTATGTCTTGCTTTCTCAGGAAATTCTCTGACCTTGGAGTAGGGGGTGTTCAGTTCACCCCAGAGAAGGCTGGAGCTGTCAGATGGTCGAGAGCCCCCAGGCACTCCACAATCACGAGGAACTGGAGTTGGGGTATCCGTCCCTCAGTGGGGAGGTTTTGAGGCATTCCAGCTGACCCTCAGAGGGTCCTCAGTAGATGTAAGTGCAGTTGCCCACAACAGAAATCTGCTTACTAACATGTTCTTTATTGGCTTACTCCTCGCCCCCTCTCCAGACCCACTCCCTCACTGTGGTCCAGAATAAGCCACCTGCACCAAAATCTTTGTCTCGGATTAAAACCAAGGTGGAATTAAGGCTATTAAGTTTATCTTCGTAAACAAAGGCCTTAATGGAGGGAGTTTGAAACTCTTTAAGTTGGGTATTTCAGTACCAGTTAAAACTTTTTTTTTTTTGAGAGGTTTTCGCTATAGGGCGCGTGCGCTCACCAGAAAGACAGAGAGAGACAGAGAGACAGAAAGCGAGAAATCACCCTCCAGGGGAGATGGCCACGCTGCAATCCCTTCTCCTCCATTCTCCTCTCGGGATCTTGGGCACACACGCACACGCACCCGGCTTGAGTTTAAGCCACCAGGTCTGGGACTCAAACCACAGTCGACTACATGGGAGTTCCAGCGACATAGCCATATGCCAACTGCTAGTCCCAGTACCAGTTAAAACTCTTGGTGCAAGTAAGTAGTGGATCACTTCCTGTTATTTAAAGAATGAAGTCTTTCTGGACAAAGGCTGGAAAGAAAAGACACAACCAGCTTCATCTCCCTAAAGGGGTAAAGACATTTCTCCCCAGGCCAGGAAGAGCTTTTAAATGATTATGCCCTAAAAATAACATTCTCACTCCTGAATGGGTTCTAAAACTGAAATGGTGGGTTATTTTCATCCACCTCCACAGCAGCTGCTCAGGAGCTCCATGTGAGGGGATTATGCAATGACTTGGGCTGTCTTCGTCTTGGCAAAGCAACTCATTGTTCTCTGGTGATGGCTTCCAAGGTAACGCACTAGGACATCTGAGGATCTACGCAAGGGGAGAAGGAAAGGAGTGAAGAGTGGGAACGGTATAGAGAGGATTAGAAAATCTACAAGGGGGCCTGGCAGGTGGCGTGGTGGTCAAGGGCACTGGACTCCCACATGGCCCACTGAGGTTTGAGTCCTGGACCTGGCAGCTTGCTTCCTCACTTTTCCTGTCTCTCTTTCACTCTGTCCCTCACTGGTCAAATGAAAGTGAATAAATTAAGTTAAATAAAATAATTATTTTATTTATTTATTTTTTAAGAGAGAGATTTTTGCTATAGAGTATGTGCGCTCGCCAGAGAGACAGAAAGCAAGAAATCACCCTCTGGGGGGATGACCATGCTGCAATCCCTTCTCCATTCTCCTCTCGGGATTGTGGGCATGCACACACCCATGCCCAGCATGAGCATAAGTCGCCAGATCCAGGACTTGAACTGCAGTCAATTACGTGGGAGTTCAGCGATGTAACCATTATGCCATCTGCTGGCCCCAATAAAATAATTCTTTTTAAAAAAGAAAAGAAAAGAAAAAGAAAATCTGTAAGGAGCAGGGTTCTGCAAGGCCAGAAGAACAAGGCAACTCCAGATGGTCCCAGTTTACGCCTGTCACTCTGGCACACACGGCTGACGCCCCGAAGGGAACGCTTGCTTTAGCAGGTTTAGTTAGAGCAGACTCCGCAGTGAGCTTTAGCCAGTTTCTGCTCACTCCAGATCCAGGCCTCCAAGTACCCCTAGCCCATGGATCCCCATGCCACGCTCTCTCTGGCTGCGACACTGTTTCCCTCTGACTGTCGGAGAACACACCAACCACGTGGGGAATAATGCTTTAGGCCCTTCCACTCAAATTGTAGTCCTCCCATCAGCATTATCTGGAAGCTGATCAGAAATACAGAATCTCTGTCTTGACCTCTGGTAGTCAATCAGTATCTGTGTTTGTTTGTTTGTTTTTAAATTATTTTATCTATCTGTATTTATTTATTTATTCATTTATTTTATGTTTATTTGACCAGAGAGGAGCAGAGAAAGAGAGAGAAACTGAGAAAGTGATCTGACACGGACTCAAACTATGGTCAGCCATGTGGGACTCCAGCACCCTTTACCACCATGCCACCTGCTGGCCCCTAGTATCTGTGTTTTAAGAAGATTCCTGGGGCCACCAGCAGATGGCATAATAGTTATATTGCTGGACTCTCACATAGCCGACTGTGGTTCGAGTCCTAGACCCGGAGGCTTGAAATCCACACCGGGTGCATGTGCATGTGTGCCTAAAATCCCGAGAGGAGAAGGGATCGTGGCATGGCCATCTACCCAGGGGGTGATTTCTCATTCTCTGTCTCTTTCTGTGTTGCTGGCGAGCATACACACCCCACAACAAAAATCTCTTTAAAAAAATAATAAGATGAAGATTTTGTTTCATGCGCACATTGAAGTTCAGAAACCTAGCCTTGACTGTCAGCTCTATAAATGACAAATCTGACTACCTTTGTTCATTAATTCGGCCACCTTATGTTTATAATTTTGCTGCTGAAGCAGAAATGCCTACCTCAAAATCTTTTCTTTCTTTTTACAATTTTATTTAACTTTATTATTATTATTATTATTATTCTTCTTATTTTATTATTATTAACTTTATTGATCAGACTTGGAAGGAGTGAGAAAGCAAGCCACCAGATCCAGGACTTGAACCGTGGTTGGCCATGTGGGAGTCCAGCACCCTTAACCACTGTGCCACCTGCTGGCCCCCTCTTTTACTTTTTTTTCCTCTATTTTTTGGAGAGTTTTTTTCACTATAGGGCGTGTGCGCTCGCCAGACAGACAGAGAGAGACATAGAGGCAGAAAGCGAGAAATCACACCCCAGGGGGGATGGTCACGAAAATAAAGTATCCCTAGTTTAGTGTATCAAGATATAGCGGTGGTTTCTAGTTAAATCTGGCCCAGATTTCCAGAGACTAACACCAAAATAATTGATTGGCTGTTCTGCAACCAGTGTATTAATGGAGGAACTAGTCTACTTAGAAACCAGTCTGTGGGCCCAGAAAATGGCATAACAGTTAGGTTGCTGGACACCTATGTAGTCAGCTGCGGTTCAAGTCCTGGACCTGGTGGCTTAAAACTCACGCTGGGTGCGTGTGCATGCCTGCCCAAAATCCCGATGGGAAAACAGAGGAGAAGGGACTATGGCATGGCCATCCCCTGGGTGGTGGTGGTGGTGGGGCTATTTCCCGCTTTCTGTCTCTCTGTTTCTCCAGCGAGCACACATATCCTATAGCAAAAATTTCTCTCTAAAAAGAAAAAAAAAAAGAAAGAAACCACAGTCTGCATGGAAGCTATGGTCATAAACCAATAGTTACCTTTGAAACATCTTGATATATATGTATTTTTTTTTTCCAAGATTTTTGCCATGGGGCACATACACTTGCCAGAGACGAACAGAGACAGAGAGAGTGGGAAAGTGAGAAATCCCTGTTCGGGGATGGTCATGCCATCCATCCTCCTCTCAGGATTTCTGGGCATGCACACACATACACACATCTGGTGTGTTTTTCAAGTCACGAGGCCTGGGACTTGAACCATGGAGTCAGCCATATGGGATCTAGAGCCTTCACCACCATACTACCTGCTAGCCCATGAATGTATATTTTTTAAAATATCAATCACAAAGTAGCTTTAGCCAGAATTATGCTTTGGAATTAAAAACACAAAACTCACTTTCTATGTAAGCCCCAAACAGGCCATTTTCTTCTGCTATAGAAGCAGTCAGTTGTGTTGGGACCAGCAGACAGCATAACGGTTACATTGCTGGGCTCCCATATGGTCGACCACGGTTCGAGTCCCGGACCCGTTGGCTTCAAATTTATGCTGAGCATGTGTGCGTGCATGCCCAAAATCCCAAGAGGAGGATGGAGGAGAAGGGATTGCAACGTGGCCATCCCTCCCGGGGGGTGATTTTTCACTTTCTGTCTCTCTGTCTTTCCTAGCACACGTGCCCTCTAGCAAAAATGTTTCTTAAAAAAAAAGAAAAGAAAAGAAACAGCCAGTTGTGTATTTGAGCACAAGATAAAGTAGTTGACAGATACATCAGAGGGATTTAAATCACCTCCTTCCCCAGGTGGGGATGGCCATGCTGCAATCCCTTCTCTACTCTCCTCTTCGGATTTTGGACATGCACACACATGTGCCCAGCATGTTTTTCAAGGCACCAGGTCTGAGCGGTTTTTGCTAGAGGGCGCGTGCGCTCGCCAGAAAGACAGAGAGAGACAGAAAGCAAGAAATCACTCCCCAAGGGGATGGCCACCTGCAATCCCTTCTCCTCCATTCTCCTCTGGGGATCTTGGGCACGCGCACACACACCTCCGGTGTGAGTTTAAGCCGCCGGGTCCAGGACTCAAACCACAGTCGACTACATGGGAGTCCAGCGACATAGCCATTACACTAACTGCTGGTCCCTGAATAAAATAATTATTAAAAAAAGATTTATTTCTTAAAAAAAAAACTACACGTTCCGAGCAAAAAGCATCATTAAAGAACGTGATAATTTTTTCAATGTGATCTCATTGAAATCCTTCTCAAGCCCCCAGAAATGTTCATTTCTTCTTCTTTTTCTTCTCCTTCTGTTCTTTTTTTT